TTGTCCAAGCACGACAAGGGTTGTCGCATATTCATTCCTTTGTAGGTAATTGGGAGCCTTTACAAGACAGTTCCATACAATTCACAGCGCTCATGCTGCCGATCGCCATTGCCGCCAATTGTGATAAAAACATAATTTTGGCGATATGATATTCAATCTGGCGAAATTTTTGGCGATAACTTTTCCCTGTATGGCGGATCTTTTTTAACCGTGGCGATAAATTTTTCTTGCCACAAAGCTTTGATTTCCACGCCAAGCATACACGTTACTCTATTGCGCTTGACGGAATCAGTTATCAATCAATTAGGTGCCAATATTATAATAGAGATATCTTTTGTCTCTTGATCAATATCGGATTAGTGTTGATTAGTATTTACAGTAAGAGTAGTAATAAACTAATTAAGAGACAAAAGATTTAATTATTTGTCTTCAAATACGAATTGGTGGCTTTTTTTGACAGTTTCTATATATTCAAAATGGCAGACACTGTGAATAATACTCGTTCAATTTGTTTGGGATTATTGAATTATGACGTCTGTTTTATCTTTTTCTCACTCCTGTTGCCCATATCGTTAATAAATGAAGTCAGGTTTTTTGTTACAGTTTATAATTGCGTATATTTGGGTTGTCGAAAGTCAGTTATCATCAAATCACATGCCATGGGTCGTAAGCAAAAAATTGAACAGCCTTTGTCAACGACCGATAGAAGAATGTCAGATTATTTTAGTATGACACCATCAAAATGCTCCAAGTCTACAGATGATACTGACATGATCAGCTCTCGTCCATCTAATATTATTACATCCTTGAATGTTGAAGAGATATCAACTTCTACAATAGGTCTGCATGTAGGCTACCTCAAAAGTTCGCGATAAAGAAAAATCTTAAAGGGGCATTATGGGAGATTAGATAAACAACTGGCAGTTCTCACTATAATAGTTAAAAATAGATAATGTGAATAGAATATGCTCCACTCTGAACCGAGATATTAGCTTTTGAATTTTAGACCTAGCCTCGATCATCATTACTAAAGTCGGTACAAAAAAAACATAGTCTCGATTATCCATTTTTGTTTAAGCGCATGAAGGGAAATTTTCAGATATACAGATATTCATTAACCAGCAGCTGCCAGGCAGGATACGCCCACATTTTCGAGAGACGGATAGAGAACAAGCTAAAAAGAAAGCGATTTTTTGTACAATCAGGGGCCATAATTCAGGAAGTTATGGTCCGATATGCACGAATATCAAAAGGAACCGAGATCTTTGGATTATTAACTTACATTTCCAGTTTCAACGAGGGGCTGCCATTTTGTCTGTCAGTTTTGGGCCAATTTTCACAAAATTCGAACTTAGCCGTCCTTAGGGTGTAACGGTGATATAATAATACGCTTTTTTAAATCGGATAAAAATTATGACCTCTATAGGGTCCACAAGCTAAAAACACAATATTTGGTACAATCAGGGGCCATAATTCAGGAAGTTACGGTCCGATATGCGCGAATATCGAAAGGAACCAAGATCTTTGGATTATCAACTTAGATTTCAAGTTTGAACAAAATCGGATAAGAATTGTGACCTCTATAGTGTCCACAAGCTAAAAACGCGATATTTTGTAGAAACAGGGGCCATAATCCATGAAGTTTCGATCCGATACATGCCAATATCGGAAGGAACCGAGATCTTTTGGAGATAAACCTATATTTCAAGTTTCGTCAAAATCGGATAAGAATTGTGACCTGTAGAGTGTCCACAAACAAATTGTGGACGGACGGACGTCCGGACGGACAGGGGCGACGACAATATACGTCCACATGAAAATGTGGGCATATAAAAATGGTTAGCTACATGTACATTGATTTCTCCAAAAAATGGGACATTGTACATCAAAAACACAAATAAATATTCTTCAGACGGCAATCTGATCAATATTATATCTACACCGATATAATACACACGATTTTTCGTACAATCGGGGGCCATAATTCAGGAAGTTACTGTCCGATATGCGCTAATATCGAAAGGAACCAAGATCTTTGGGTTATAAACTTATATTTCAAGTTTCAACAAAATCAGATAAAAATTGTGACCTCTATTAGGGTCTACAACCTTGATATACCATGTTTTTACGCTATTTGAGAACGAAGGGCGGCCATTTTGTCTGTCAATTTTGGGCTGAATTTCACGAAATTTGAACTCAGCCATCCTTAGGGTGTAACGGTGAGATAATAATACGATTTTTTAAATCGGATAAAATTATGACCTCTACAGGGTCCACAAGCTAAAAACGCGATTTTCCGTACAATCAGTGGCCATAATTCAGGAAGTTACGGTCCGATATGCGCGAATATCGAAAGGAACCAAGATCTATGGGTTATAAACTTACATTTTAAGTTTCAACAAAATCGGATAAAAATTGTGACCTCTATAGGGTCCACAACCTTGATATACCATATTTTTACGCTATTTGAGAACGAATGGCGGCCATTTTGTCTGTCAGTTTTGGGTCGATTTTCATGAAATTCGAACTCAGTCGTCCTTGGGGTGTAACGGTGATATAATAATACGGTTTTTTAAATCGGATAAAAATTATGACCTCTATAGGGTCCACAAGCTAAAAATGCGATTTATCGTCCAATCAGGGGCCATAATTCAGGAAGTTACGGTCCGATATGCGCGAATATCGAAAGGAACCGAGATCTTTGAGTTATCAACTTACACTTCAAGTTTCAACAAAATCGGATAAAAATTGTGACCTTTATAGTGTCCACAAGCTAAAAACGTGCTTTTTTGACAAACAGGGGCCATAATCCATGAAGTTTCGATCCGATACATGCCAATATCGAAAGCAGCCGAGATCTTTTGGAGATAAACCTATATTACAAGTTTCATCAAAATCGGATAAGAATTGTGACCTGTAGAGTGTCCACAAACAAATTGTGGACGGACAGGGGCGACGACAATATACGTCCACATGAAAATGTGGGCGTATAAAAACAAATACCCTGTGTAATTTAATGTTGCTAAGTAATGAAAAAGTGGTTAACCCAGATGTTGAAAAAGCTTTAAAAAAATTGGCTTCTGCAAAGCAGAGAAGAATTTTGTAAATTGTAATATCATATGTATATTGTATGTACTCAATTCAGAATATAATTTTTGTCATTTGAGGTTTCACAAGGTTTTACAAACTGAAACAAGGGTCTCAACTTTGGAAGTAGTTTACAGAAATTGTTGAAATTTGACAGGCTTTTTCGTTTTACTAATTTAAATAATGCACATAAATTTCATACAGATCGGATGATCACTTTTGTCATTCAAACATTCACAGGGTTCACAAAGTAAAACAAGGGCCATAACTCTAGAAATAATTGATGGAAATTGCTGAAATTCAATAGACCTCTTTTTCACAAATTTTAATGATGCATATATTTTCATACATACTGGATGATAACTTTCATCAATCGAGCATTAACAATGTTGAACAAAGTGAAACAAGGGCCATAACTCTATAAGTAATTATTGTAAATTGTTAAAATTCAATAGGCTTCGTGGTTTCACTATTTTAAATAATGCATATAAATTTCAGAAAGATCGAATGATAACTTTTGATGTTGGAGCGTTCACAAGGTTCAATAAAGTGAAACAAGGGCCACAACTCTAGACTTAATAAACGGAAATTGCTGAAATTCAATAGGCTTCTTTGTTTCACTAATTTAAATAATGTATATAATTTTCAGAAAGATCAAATGATAACTTTTGACGTTAGAGTGTTCACAAGGTTCAATAACGTGAAACAAGGGCCATAACTCTAGACGTAATAAACAGAAATTGCTGAAATTCAATAGGCTTCTTTGTTTCACTAATTTAAATAATGCATATAAATTTCACAAAGATCAGATGATAACTTTTGGCGTTAGAGCGTTCACAATGTCCAACATAGTGATATAAGGGCCATAAATCTATTAAATAGGCTTCTTCATCTCACCAATGTGAACAACATATATCAATTTTAAAACAATTGGATCATAACTTTTGGTGTTAGAGCGTTCACAAGAAATTGTGGATGATGGACGGACGGACGGGGGCGACGGCAATATACATCCACATTTCAATGTGGGCGCATAACAAAGTGAAACAAGGGCCATAACTCTAGATGTAATTAATGGAAATTTGCTGAAACTCAATAGGCTTGTTCGTTTTACTAATTTAAACAATACATATAATTTTCATACAGATCGGATAATAACTTTTGTCATCAGAGTATTTACAAGGTACAACATAGTGAGAGAGAGAGAGAGAGAGAGAGATGGGGTTTAACATCCACTCGACAGAAACTAGGTCATTTCGGGACTAACATATGGGTTAATTTTATTTCAATAATTGGCTAGCGCGTAGGGCTCTTTAGCAGTGGGAGGAAACCGGAGGACCCGGGGGAAAACCCACGAGGTTGGACAACAAAGTGAAACAAGAACCATAACTCACTGCGTAATTAATGGAAATTGCTGAAATTCAATAGGCTTCTTTGTTTCACTTATTTCAATGATGCATATAAATTTTAAACAGATCGGATGATAACTGTTGTCATTAGAGCGTTCACAAGATTCAACAAAGTGAAACAAGGGCCATAACTCTAGGTGTAATTAACGGAAATTTCTGAAATTCAGGAGGATTCTTTGTTTTACTTATTTAAATGATGCATATCAATTGCATACAGATCGGTTGATAACTTTTGTCATTAGAGCGTTCAAACGGTGCAACAAAGTGAAACATTGGGTGATAACTCCAGAAGAAGTTAATGGAAGTTATTGAAATTAAATAGGCTTCTTCATCTGACTAATGCAAACAATTATATCAATTTCAAAACAATCAGATGATAAATGTAGTCTGTAGAGTGTTTACAAGAAATTGTGGACGACGGCCGGACGACCGACAGAAGGACGAGGGCGGCGGCGTCAATATACGACAACATTTCCATGTGGGTGTATAATAAAACAATGAAAAGGCAATTCAAATTTTATTGCGATTCAGCAGTAAACTGTATTAGGTGGGGTTGTGTGGATAAATCTATTGAGTGTTGAAAGCTCTACTTTCAATTATCAAAGTAGGCTAGCTATCTCTACTTACACATAATGTGCATAGTACGGTAGAATTTAAGAAACCTTTACAAAAGTGGTGGAATTCATGCACAAGCACCAATTTATTATTAAGTTTAAGACCATAATATGGATAAAAATAACCATGAAACCTGCTATAAGGAAAGTTACCAAAGCCAACCATAACTATTACATTATTATAGACATAGTAAATGTTACCATTAGTCCAGCCAGCACCTCTAACTAAATGGTTTATATTTTGAACACAGAAAAATCGTATTTTGCTGATATAGATATTCATTGTTAAACTACAAAACCTCAGAAATAACATATGGTTTGAACAATCAAGTTGTCATTTATTAAAGTTTGTACATGTATTTTGTACTTAATAATGATGTCCTAGTGTATTAAAATACACTTTCTCAGCAAGATTAAAATTGGAAGTACATGTAAATTAGGAAGACATGTAAGAGAAACACTTTTCTGGTTTTTGGCTAAATATTTTGAAATAACAAAGATGGTTTACCAGACAACAAACCTTACACTAACACCAGCTACATGTACGTTGTCTCAACTGTCCACAAAGGTGGCAGCATTGGTGAATCTTTAGGTAAATAAACATAGCTGTTAAGTTGTACAGTTATGAATTAAATTCATAAAAAATTTCAAAAAGATCTAAAGGGCAAACACAATTTCGTAACAAGGAGAATAACTAGGGAAGTTATGGAAATTCATTAAAAATCAATACTATTCTTCTAAAAGATCTAAGGGCCCAAACAAAATTTCATAACAAAGGAGAATAATTAGAGAAGTTGTCAAAATTCATTGAAAATCAATACTATTCTTCTTTTGATAAGATGGATAAATTAATAACCAATATAAATTTCAGTAAGATACCTTAATCATTGCAGCCCATAAAGTACTAACAGATGTGAACGGCAATATACACAACCACATTAAAATGTTCGTGTATAAAAAGCAATATCCTTTACACTGAATAATATACTGTTGATAAGGTTCTAGACATAATCAAGAGCAATAACTCTGTAAGTGAACATGGTCTGTAACTCTAGAAGTAGGCCTATATTACACACAAATCAGGTGATAACTTTCATTGATAGAACTTTCACAAGATTCAACAGAATGAATAAGGGCCATAGTTTTAGAGGTTATTAATGGAAATTGTTAAAATTCAATGAAAATCGCTAAAATTTCACTTTTTCACTGATGTAAACAATAAATTTTAAGAAAGATCAGATGATTAGTATTGTCTGTTATGTCACTGTGGATGACAGGGTGCAGAAATATATACACCATATTTCAATGGAGGCATATAAAAACAATCTTTAAGCAATACACATAGAGAATAGCACTATCACACAATCTTATGGTTTATAACATACAACTACATCTGTTTATACAAGAATTATCCTACTGATCCCCAAGAACTGTCAAACAAAATATTCTGTGCCTTCCGAGATAGTAAGTTACATGTACAAAACATCAATTACTGTATCTAGACATCCTGTCATTACGTTTGAGTTGACAGTAAATATGATAAAAGCTTTTTCAAAGTTAAAGAGCAGAGCTCTTCTGCATGACAAAAAGAAAACAGCCCGTGGTTAGTTTTGTATTGCTTTCAGACTGGCAGAGGTTCTTCGTGAAACTTATCATTGTCAAATCAGGTTGCCTGCTATCAGGGAAAAAAAAATCAGAGTTAACGCATTTGGAGCTCAGTATTTGATTTACCAAATTCAGGGAAAAGTAGACCCTTAAAACAGGGATGTTGTAATAAATTTAATATTTACAGATAAAAACCCCATTCTGATTCAGAGTAAATATAGTGCATGGTATTTGTGATCTCAAAGAATATTGACTATATTTTAACTGACAATTCTTGCCACACTGACAATAGATGTATTTTAAAATGTACTTGTACTTTTTGTGCTAATAACAAATTTCTAACTACTTAGATTCATCGACAGATCAAACATTAAAATTAACAATTCAATTTCCGTAACCGAATAAAACGAGATGGATCTATTCTCAATTTTATTGAACGCATTGCCATAGCACGACTGAAATGGCGTGGAGCTTTAACAGTTTCATTACAACTGTCAAAATTTGCTTCTATGGAAGTAATAACACCAAATAATACTCCAAGAACCAAAAATAATATTATAAATAATGTATACTGTGTCACTGATGGATTTGGTGTGCCTTCCATTTCCCGTAAATTTGCCTGAGCTGGTTGGAATCCTGGATTTAATTCTAAAGCTTGTCGAAAATGTAAAGATGCTTCCTGAAAATGTCCATAAGCTTTGAGGATTTCTCCTAAGGTAAAATGTTGAAGCCAAGAATTTTGATCTGCAGTTTGCATGAGTAATGAACGCCTGGTTAAATATATTGCGTCATCTAAGTATTGTAGATTGAATAAAACTCGTGCCAAGTTTAGTAAAACATCTGAATTTTGTGATGATAAAGTCAAAGCTTTTCTAAAACACTCTATAGACAACTGTGTGTTTCCCTTAATTCTCCAAAAATTTCCTATTTGATTGTGAACCTGTGCTGATTTTGGTCTCTGTAAAAAACAACAAGCAAACTATTAATCACACAATCAATTTGTAGAATAAATTATGACACAATTGCATACTTATTAGTTGCATGGGTCTCTCTCCCTAGCATTTTCTAATGGCTGTTGAGAATTTTCACACATACTACTATCGTGATAATCGTATCGTATACATTGCTAGAAAGCTGATATGCGGTATTGTTTTAGATAGTGACCTAAACCTACATTCAATATAAAATTCATGAGGAAATTCTTCAAAACTTTGAACCAATGAACTGGAGGTTTGGAAAAAAAACATTTTTTAAGACAAGTCTTACACAATAAGCTGCAATGAGAATATTATGGACTTATAAGTTATACTAGATAGTCATTGTTCAAATTCTTGATGATGTTCTGAATGGAATAAATTTTGTATTTACTCGGATATACATTATAAACTATATAATTTACCTCTTTTTTGGCTTTCCATAGTTTTTGTTCTAAATCATTCAGGTCAATTTCCGAGGTTCTACTGCCCTTTTTCCGGAAGATCATAGCTACCTCTGGCTCTGGTATATGAGCATGATCCTGGCGATTTGCGATTCCTCTTAAGTGGTCATACTGAGTTGAGTTTACTGGCTTCCCACAGGATAATATTTTGGGGGGCTTTTGAATGGAAGACATAGAATTTTTCCTGAAATATTCACAAAAAAAGTAGCTTGAGAGTAAAACCAATCTGATTAAAATACAGATCTACATTTCAGTTTTTTATACTTTCGATGACCTACACTAAATGACAATCTGACAAGTTATAGTGGGGGTTCACGTCAGGGGTCAAATGAGCGGCTTTTGACCCTATGATGTCAGACATTGATTAATCAATCGGCTTTGACGTTTCTAGTTCTAGTTTACCCGCAGTTCCGTGCATAAAAAGGCCAAGAACTCGCCGTAACGAAATGTTTCATTGGCTAATTCCTCACATCAAGTAGAATGCCTGTTACATAACAACTCTTCCAGATCCTAGTGTACATAGTGAAGACAAGTTAAATGAAATTTTGAACTATAAAAACAAAACAAAACAAAATAGGATCTGTGTTTTAATCAGATTGGAGCAAAACTAAATATAACAGATTTTTAATAAACTTTGTAGCTTATAGAGGCATGACATTACATAGTGGCGCTTTTGGGATCTTTAAAGGTTGGTAACAAAAATTATTTTTAATTTAAAACAATTTTATTACACAGCTAAACTTCAAATACATGGTCGTACACTTTTTAACTTGCCATTGTGACAAAATTATGGCAGTTTTGACCAAAGGTAATTTTGGCCATTATGGTTTATGGTTGTTCTGACCAGATTACACAAATTCTCCTGAGAAATCCCTTTTCAAATACCAGTACATTGTCGGTCAGTTCTTGGGTGAGTCAAACTAATGTATAAATACATGTAAGGCTATTTTGAATGGTTGCAGGCTGTTTCATAACCTGGCTGTTTCGTACTTGGTTCATTCGTACCTTGGTTCGTACCTTAGATTGATTCGTACCTTTTCCTACATGTTGTTGAAATTAAGGTGAAAAATGACGATTTAATAATATCCAATTGTACCTCAGATTGATTCGTAATATCCAACGACTACGCAAATTTTATAAAAATGTCTGCTAGCTTACGCGAAATTTATTTGTACATTTTTAAATGGGTTGAAATCAGATGAAATAAACATATAGGAAAATAAACGATTGACAAAAAAACCAAACACTGCTACCTGCCTTTTGTTGTTTTTAATCTGTCGAGTGAGTTGTGATTCTTGACGATAATTGATTGGCGATTGTTAAAGCGGTTAAAAAGAGATTGAAAAATATTTAATCTGGTATTGATTATAGAGCCTATTCTGCTGGGTGAGTTGTGATTATTGACAATGAGTTGTGATTATTGACAATAATTGATCGGCGATTGTTAACTTCAAAGGGTCATGCGGCAGGACAAACGGTTGTATTCCCACCAAGATTTATAAAATAGAATAAAAGCACAATAGAAAAGAAGAAAATAAAAGCTTAAGTGGATGTAAAAGTTGAAATTAACGAAGGTACGAAACAGCTAATGTGCATGTAAAAGTTTTCTTGTTCTCTTGAAATTAACTAAGGTATGAAACGGCTCATGTGAGGTACAAATGAACTAAGTACTAAACAGCCAGGTTACGAAACAGCTTGACATCCTTTTGAATATTCTTGTTAAGAGTGACAATTCCTCTTTAAGAACAAAGTTTGTAATTAAATGGCCTTATACATGTAGCTACAATAAGTTGTGACAACTGTCAGGAGTTATTTTTTCTTCAGAACATATTACATGGGTCTTATCTGTAGTGTGGGGTGGTAACCTACCCCCAGAACAATCGTTGTATGTTCTCATATGGCATTAGACTATAGACGAGTACAGGCTACAGTAATTAAACTTGAAGACAAAGAGTGGAAAGGTGTAGGCAGGCCTACTCGCAAATTAATTGGTAGAAAAGAGATTTTCTTGGAACATGTCATCAATCATCTAATAATATAGGCTAATAAATAATAACTATGTTTTACCTGTCCTCAAAAGAATCTGGATGATTTTTACTGAAACACGAAGTTTTATGTATATTTTTTTTTTCCACTTTCCATTCACCGTTTAAAATAACCTTATTAGTTAGAATGTTCATCAGATCTTCATCTTCCGTTTCTGTTTCGGTTGATTCCTCCCTCGCCTGTACTACTTTCCCATCATCCTGATTCAAACGCCAGTGATGGTTGGAACTTCGTGAATTAGTGTTAACGATGTGCATCGATATGATGTATAGTGCCATGTAGGACATGCATGGCATATCACAAGTCATTGTACACCACCACAATAATTAAAAAAAACTTTCAGATATGTTTTTATATTATGACAATTTGAAGATTATTTGACAGATAGGTATCGATTCCCAAAACAACAATGGCGGGTAATAAAGCGACGTCTGTAAAATTATAGAGTTATTTCCCTTAGACCACGAAATATGATATCAAAACCAATCCGTTTGAAACATAGATATCCTATTAAAGACAATATTATTGGTGCCAGTCATTATCACATGTGTGATAGAACTGGTTAAACACGTTCCAAATATTATTTTATCACAGAGATCATTGCTACGATAGATGCGTAATCAATGTTTCAACAATCGGAAGTGACGAACGCAAAAGGATTAAGGAAAACACGAGTTATCCTTCAATATAACTGACTGAAGTGTCGGGTGGTAACAGATACATGGGCGAATTTCTGCTCACTGATAATTCCTTCGAAGACCAAAAGTTGTTGTGTGAGACTGTGAAAGGATATCTTGGGAATTGTCTGTAGTAATAAACACACACTGACAGTTCGCTCAACGACGTTACGATATCTATATCGATGAACTAAATCTCTTTAATTTCGTAGTTTTATAGTATTTTCGGTAACAAAACTACCGAGAATTATCACATACAATCATATGTTAGTTGTGTGTCATGTTTCGGGAATTTATAAAACATGATTCATATTTTTAAAACATGCATAATAAAGCGTGTACGGCCCATGGAAGAAGTGAGACTGAGACGGGAGACGGCATTTGAATTTGTGACGGTTTATGAATTGGTCTATCTATTTAAGGCCGTAAATTATTGTCGATTTTTAAGAGGTTTTATTAACTTTGAAACTATTCCACCAAATACTTGTTGTTACCATTCCTAGATTTGAAATGTAATTTCCATACACCTTAAAATCAATCTAATTAAAATATAGATCTATATTTCGTTTCGTTTTTTATACTTTACATGTTATAAAGACAAGTAAAATCGAAATTTTGAACTATAAAAACGAAACGAAATTGGATCTGTGTTTTAATCAGATTGCCTGAAAATGCGCCATTTGAAAATGTCAAAGTGACACGCCCTTTTTTGGATAAGGCCTATTTTACTCAACATCAACATGATTTATTTTTTCTCCAAAAGAAAAATTCCTTTGTCTTCTAGAGCTCATTACTGTGTGCTTCGCTTATTTATGTTATGTTAATAAAGTAAGCTTTCATTAAAATATAATTAATAATAATTTAAGAATATTAAAATGGAATTTCAAATAGGCATATAACGTTTTCCAATAAACAGATTTGAGCCGTTGGTTGTTTTCCAATATAAAATACCCTTGGCTCCAACGCTGACTCGCCGTGTGCTTTTATGATTTTTGTTCTATTAATTAATGTGGGCTTTCATTTTTAAAAAATAAAATAATTAAAGATATTAAAATTCTATTTAAATAGGCCTATAACATTTTTCAATAAACAATATTTGAGTTGATTGGTTTCTCTTTTTACAAACAAGTATAAACCAAAAACAACTTGAGAATGAATATTTTGCATATTGCTCTGGGTGTCATGTAATGTTTTGACGGCCTTTATATATGGAAGTATAACGTTGCCAATATTATTTCATTGTTCACGATGCAAACTGCAAAATGTCAGTAATTCAAAATACGTATTTTAGTTTTACAATTTGCAATTTCTATTGCTCAACAATACCAATGCCACGGTGTTAAAATACAGAATACACTTTTCAATAATACAAAATACAGTAGAATAGTTATTTTGCACATTACACTTCTGCATTCTGCATTTTGCATATTAATAGACAAATGCATAATAGAACCTTGCATCGTAGAACATAAACCTCATATGGGATCTACGCCGAACGTCATTTGCATACGGAAAAAAGTCCGGACTATGACGGAAATTAAGGTTTAACGCGATAAAGCCATAAGGTCACCTGGAGACGACATGAAGTTAGCACACATATTCCTAGCGCCAATAAAAACCTAGATATAATTATCACGAAAATAATTGTTACCTTTATATTAGAAAACGACATATTAATGCAAAGTATATATGTAATAGACCCACCCCCCCTCTCATAAAAAAAATATACTATTACCGTAAACATACTAAAATATCGCACACTAGGCTAACTGAGCACGCAGAAAAGGGCAGTCCACGCTGCATCAAAACGCACCGAAACCAGCTTTGGTGGCAACATGTTTTTTTTGTTTCATGGAATCAAGGGATGAATAAACTACTAGAATACATATTTTCAGAAGCTTCCTAAGCTGGCTTTTAGAGAAATATCACCGTAAACATACTAAAACCATGGGGGGGGGGGGTCGGGTGAGGGTAGGCTCATCGCGCACGCAATAACTTATAAAATAGCTTTTGTGGCTCGCAAGATCTTTACTTCACCAAATCAACAGATGAATAAGATATGAACAGGCCAATTTTCAGTAACTTTCTATTTTGGCGTATCGAGTTATACCACCGCAAAGTTCCCAGCACCTGGGTTCGAGGCGGGGTTCGCGGGTGCAATAAACAAGGGGTACGTCCACACTGCACCAAAAAACACTCCAAACTGGCTTTGGTGGCAAAATGTTTTGTATTTCACAGAGTCAAGGGATAAATAACTACTTGAATACAAAAATCCAGAAGCTTCCTATTCTGGCTTTTAGAGATATATTATCGTAAACGTACTAAATATGTGAGGGAATCGGGATAGGGTAGGCTCACTGCGCACACAATAACTTCTAAATTAGCTTTGGTGGCTCCAAGATCTTTATTTCACCAAATCGACAGATGCATAAGGTGTGAACATGCCAAATTTCATTAACTTTCTATGTTGGCGTATCGAGATATACCACCGCAAAGTACCTAGCACCCGGATTTGAGACAGGGTTCGTGGGTTCAATAAATAAGGGGTACGTCCATGCTGCGTCAAAAAGCACCCAAACCCGCTTTGGTGGCAAACTATTTTGTATTTCACAGAGTCAAGGGTTGAATAAACTACTAGAATAAAAAATCCAGAAGCCTCCTATGCTGGCTTTTTGAGATATATTACCGTAAACATACTCAAAATATGGGGGAATCGTGTTAGGGTAGACTCACTGTGCACGCACTAACTTCCAAACTAGCTTTGGTGGCTCCGGGATCTGTATTTCACCCAATTGACAGGTGCTTAAGGTATGAACATGCCAAATTTCATTAACTTTCTATGTTGGCGTATCGAGTTATACCACCGAAAAGTTCCTAGCATCAGGATTCGAGGCGAGGTTCGTGGGTACAATAAACAAAGGGTACGCCCACGCTGCATCAAAAAGCACCCAAACCAGCTTTAGTGGCAAAATGTTTTTTGTTTCACAGAATCAAGGGATGAATAAACTACTAGACTGCACAATTTCAGAAGCCTCCTATGTTGGCTTTTCGAGATATATTACTGTAAACGTACTAAATATGTGGGGGAATCGGGTTAGGGTAGGCTCACTGCGCACGCAATGACTTCTAAACTAGCTTTGGTGGCTCCAAGATCTTTATTTCAGCAAATCGACAGATGCATAAGGTGTGAACATGCCAAATTTCATTAACTTTCTATGTTGGGGTATCGAGTTATACCACCGAAAACTTACCAGCACCGGATTCGAGGCGGGGTTCGTGGGTACAATAAACAAGGGGTACGCCTACGTTTCATCAAAAAGCACCCGAAACAGCTTTGGTGGCAACATGTTTTGTATTTCACAGAGTCAAGGGATGAATAAACTACGAGAATACAAAAATCCAGAAGCCTTCTATGCTGGCTCTTGGAGATATATTACCGTAAACATACTAAATATGTGGGGAATCGAGTTAGGGTAGGCTCACTGCGCACACAATAACTTCTAAACTAGCTTTGGTCGCTCCAAGATCTTTATTTCAGCAAATTTTCTTCTTTTTTTTTGGGGGGGGGGGGTCTATTACACATTATTATATACTTTGCATTAATATGTCTTAAATGTTATTTTCTAATATAAAGGTAACAATTATTTTCGTGATAATTATATCTAGGTTTTTAGTGGCGCTAGGAATATGTGTGCTAACTTCATTTCGAATCCGGGTGCTGGAATACGGATGAGAGATTCCGCTCGGTTACTATAAGATTCTTAAACATTACCCAAAAAAGGGTTTTAGAGACCTGTCAATTAATAAGATATTCAATTTAATTTTTAACAAGAAATTGATTCACTTGAAATATCTGTTTTTTTACCGATGAGAACAAATAAGAATAGTCTCGTTAAACCAGACTATTATCTTTCAAAATCCTCTAACCGTCGAACTGATTACATTATAGAGCCTGGACGCTGAAGACTAATAAAATCGAGTACTGTCCCCTTCTAATGACCTCGGCCTTATGGTTTTATCCCGTAAATCATTAATTTCCGTCATAGTCCGGATTTTTTTCCGTATGCAAATGACGTACGTCGTACATGCCATATGAGGTATATGTTCTACTATGCAAGGTTCTATTATGCATTTGTCTATTATGCAAAATGCAGAATGCAGAAGTGTAATGTGCAAAATAACTATTCTACTGTATTTTGTATTATTGAAAAGTGTATTCTGTATTTTAACACCGTGACATTGGTATTGTTGAGCAATGGAAATTGTAAATTGTAAAACTAAAATACGTATATTGAACTACTGACATTTTGCAGTTTGCACCGTGAACAATTAAATAATATTGGCAACGTTATCCTTCCATAATATAACTCTCTCTATGTGTCAACCTGTCACTTATACCCTAAGTTGATTTTAGTACAATTCTACATATATGTGAATTTAATAACTTGCCACCAAAGATATTAATTAATGAAATATACTCCCCCCATTAATTTCAAGAGCAAAATTTCTAGCAATATTATTACATTCGTCCCCCTGTTAAAGACATTTTGCTCGGTATTAGGTAGAGTTATATAAGTATTCATAAATGTAGCAGAAATCTCGAAAATCGACATATATAATTATCACCTCATTTATGCGAAATGAAGAGGTAGGGGACTCTTAAAAACTGCCATGTACTAAACTCTATAACTATTCACGCACATGTTTATGATTACTATACCATAAAACAAAGCTATGAAAGAAAAACACAAATAATCAAAAATCA